TTTTATGGAGGAATGTATTTCATTTACCTTTTTCTAATCTTTCTCTTAACATTTTAATGAAATGACAGCTTAAAATTTCATAAGATGATTGATATTATCTTTTCCATATTTCAATGAAATAAATTCTTTCAGAAGCATCATATTTGGAAATCAATATCCTTAGTAACAACAAGACAGATAATCATAACTCTTATTATCGGCTATATTGTGTGAGTTCAATGAATACTGAGAATTTAAATGAAAAATTCCAACTTGATCCTTACTTGTGAAAAAAAAAATAGTTATAGCAAAGCATGCACTTAATCAATTTAAAGTTATTTAGTTGTATTTATTAAATATCCATTAATTAATTTTTCCTTTGTGAAAAATGTCGCAAGGTATCGTGGCCAGTCATCTTTTTCTCCCTCATAAGAAAAGTTGGCAGAGGCTCGCCACTTTTGTCTTTCTCCACCCTCGCCAAAATACAGATTATATTTTATGACACTGGTCATAGGCGATAGACGGTGCAGGTGGTGAATTTTTGTGCGTACGTCGCACCCGGTCCCGGCCTTGACCCCAAAACCAGTGACTCTTCAATACAATAAATAGTGAGCGTGGTGTTGGTTTATCGACATTGTATTTAATGCACATTATATATTTTAATTAAAAATGAAATATATAATAGGAACAGTAAGTACATGAGTTTAAATCGCTTAAAGAATTAAAGAAATCGACGATTTAAGTTTGAGATATATTAGATTTTCAATTTTAGAGATATTAGTTATTTCTTAATTTCTAAGTATGGAATACGGGACAGGGGTTGGGTACGGCGTACTTAATTCTCCCAACCCAACAAACGTCTGATTAACACTGATTCGCACTTCCGGTTGTAAGGGTGTTTTCCTCCTCTGCAATGAAAATATAACAGAAAGGGAGGTATGGTGTATTTATTAATGAGGTGTCCGTAATTAGTTTATTCCATGTGTCAGATTTGTGAAAGTGTTTTGCTTTTGATTCACATGAGATGTATTTGGGTGTTAAATATTTACCACGTCTTGCTTCTAAATTGAAATAAGGTGTAACGTTTTGAATATAAACAGGCAATTTATAGGCTCATTAATCTGTCATGTTAATTCTTTCCCCCACGCAATTTAGGGCCTACAGCAGTACATCTATATACCATGATAGTGATGCTTTACTTTTATATTGTACCTTAAAATAACATTTCAGGAACATTTTTGAACTAAATCTTGCGAGTTTTTTTTTCTAAACACGTCTTCGCAATCGACAATATTATAAAGTAGTGACGCAGCAATTTATCAGTCTGGCTCGATTAGCGATTTTTTCTCTATTCTAAATTTCTATAATATTATAGCGATAAACAGTAGATTAAATGATATGTTGATATGTTTGATTTATATTAAGGCCCAACCTGCTAAAAGCTTGCTGTCATTCATTCCTTGCAAAATCCATTCTACAGTAGTCATTGTATATACTAACACCTAACACACTAACAAAGGTTTATGGACCTGGGGTGCATGAGGGAATTCTAGCCTGTTAACTAGATATCCTTAAAATGGATTGGATTTATTCATGATCCTTGTCGCTAGATGCAAGCAAATTTATTTTAATTCCTTTTCCAGACAGCAGTATTTTATCAATGGGATTCGTCAAGAAATCATTAATTTTAATTTATTGTTATCTAAATAATTGTAATGAATGTTATAATAATTGCAGCAAGGTTTGATGTAAAACAAAACCAGAATTTCAAAAGCCTAAGCAATGGAAAGATACTAAGATAAACACAAGTGGTCGGACCAACATCTTGTGGACAAGTTGTTGATGATGGTGACTAAGACTGTGTAGACATCAGACTGTTTACATGTCTGACTCTGTAGACATCAGACTGTTTACACGTCTGACCCTGTAGACATCAGACTGTTTACATGTCTAACTCTGTAGACATCAGACTATTTACACGTCTGACTCTTTAGACGTCAGATTCATTACATGTCTGACTCTGTAGACATTAGATTGTTTTCATGTCTGACTCTGTAGACATCAGACTGTTTACATGTCTGACTTTGTAGACATTAGGATGTTTACATGTCTGACTCTGTAGACATCAGACTGTTTACATCTCATACTCTGTAGACATCAGGCTGTTTACATGTCTGACTCTGTAGACATCAGACTGTTTACACATCCGACTGTGTAGACATCAGACTGTTTACATGTCTGACTCTATAGACATTAGACTGTTTACACGTCTGACTCTGTAGACATCAGACTGTTCACATGTCTGAATTTGTAGACATCAGACTGTTTACACGTCTGACTCTGTAGACATCAGACTGTTTACATGTCCGACTCTTTAGACATCAGACTGTTTACATGTCTGACTCAGAAGACATCAGACTGTTTACATGTCTGACTCTGTAGACATTAGTCTGTTTGCATGTCTGACTCAGTAGACATCAGACTGTTTACATGTCTGACTCAGTAGACATCAGACTGTTTACATCTCATACTCTGTAGACATCAGGCTGTTTACATGTCTGACTCTGTAGACATTAGGCTGTTTGCATGTCTGACTATGTAGACTTCAGACTGTTTACACGTGTGAATCTGTAGACATCAGACTGTTTACATGTCTGACTCTGTAGACATAAGGCTGTTTGCATGTCTGACTCTGTAGACATCAGACTGTTTACATGTCTGACTCTGTAGACATCAGACTGTTTACATGTCTGACTTTGTAGACATCAGACTGTTTACATGTCTGACTCAGTAGACATCAGACTGTTTACATGTCTGACTCAGTAGACATCAGACTGTTTACATGTCTGACTCTGTAGACATCAGACTGTTTACATGTCTGACTCAGTAGACATCAGACTGTTTACATGTCTGACTCTGTAGACAGACTGTTCACATGTCTGACTTTGTAGACATCAGACTGTTAAATCTCTGACTCTGTAGACATCAGACTGTTTACATGTCTGACTCTGTAGACATCAGACTGTTCACATGTCTGACTTTGTAGACATCAGACTGTTTACATGTCTGACTCAGAAGACATTAGGCTGATTGCATGTCTGACTCAGTAGACATCAGACTGTTTACATGTCTGATTCAGTAGACATCAGACTGTTTACATGTCTGACTCTGTAGCCATCAGACTGTTTACATGTCTGACTCTTTAGACATCAGACTGTTTACATGTCTGACTCTGTAGACATCAGACTGTTTACATGTCTGACTCTGTAGCCATCAGACTGTTTACATGTCTGACTCTGTAGACATCAGACTGTTTACATGTCTGACTCTGTAGACATCAGACTGTTTACATGTCCGACTCTTTAGACATCAGACTGTTTACATGTCTGACTCAGTAGACATCAGACTGTTTACATGTCTGACTCTGTAGCCATCAGACTGTTTACATGTCTGACTCTGTAGACATCAGACTGTTTACATGTCTGACTCAGTAGACATCAGATTGTTTACATGTCTGATTCAGTAGACATCAGACTGTTTACATGTCTGATTCAGTAGACATCAGACTGTTTACATGTCTGACTATGAAGACATCAAACTGTTTACATGTCTGACTTTGTAGACATTAGGCTGTTAAATCTCTGACTCTGTAGACATCAGACTGTTTACATGTCCGACTCTTTAGACATCAGACTGTTTACATGTCTGACTCAGTAGACATCAGACTGTTTACATGTCTGACTCTGTAGACAGACTGTTCACATGTCTGACTTTGTAGACATCAGACTGTTTACATGTCTGACTCAGACATCAGACTGTTTACATGTCTGACTCAGTAGACATCAGACTGTTTACATGTCTGACTCTGTAGACATCAGACTGTTTACATGTCTGACTCAGTAGACATCAGACTGTTTACATGTCTGACTCAGTAGACATCAGACTGTTTACATGTCTGACTCAGTAGACATCAGACTGTTTACATGTCTATGTAGACTTCAGACTGTTTACATGTAGGCTGTTTACATCTCTGACTCTGTAGACATCAGACTGTTTACATGTCTGACTCTGTAGACAGACTGTTTACACGTGTGACTCTGTAGACATCAGACTGTTTACATGTCTGACTCTTTATACATCAGACTGTTTACATGTCTGACTCTGTAGACATCAGACTGTTTACATGTCTTACTCTGTAGACATCGAACTGTTTACATATCTGACTCTGTAGCCATCAGACTGTTTGCATGACTGTTTGCATGTCTGACTCTGTAGACATCAGACTGTTTACATGTCTGACTCAGTAGACATCAGATTGTTTACATGTCTGATTCAGTAGACATCAGACTGTTTACATGTCTGATTCAGTAGACATCAGACTGTTTACATGTCTGACTATGAAGACATCAAACTGTTTACATGTCTGACTTTGTAGACATTAGGCTGTTAAATCTCTGACTCTGTAGACATCAGACTGTTTACATGTCCGACTCTTTAGACATCAGACTGTTTACATGTCTGACTCAGTAGACATCAGACTGTTTACATGTCTGACTCTGTAGACATCAGACTGTTTACATGTCTGACTCTGTAGCCATTAGACTGTTTACATGTCTGACTCTGTAGACATCAGACTGTTTACATGTCTGACTCTGTAGACATCAGACTGTTTTCATGTCTGACTCTGTAGACATCAGACTGTTTACATGTCTGACTCTGTAGACATCAGACTGTTTACATGTCTGACTCTGTAGACATCAGACTGTTTACATGTCCGACTCTGTAGACATCAGACTGTTTACATGTCTGACTCAGTAGACATCAGACTGTTTACATGTCTGACTCTGTAGACATCAGACTGTTTACATGTCTTACTCTGTAGACATCGAACTGTTTACATATCTGACTCTGTAGACATCAGACTGTTTACATGTCTGACTCTGTAGCCATCAGACTGTTTACACTTCTGACTCTGTAGACATTAGACTGTTTACATGTCTTACTCTGTAGAGATCAAACTGTTTACAAGTCTGACTCTGTAGACAGACTGTTTACATGTCTGACTTCAGACTGTTTACATGTCTGACTATGAAGACATCAGACTGTTTACATGTCTGACTGTCTGACTGTTTACATGTCTGAGACATCAGACTGTTTACATGTCTGACTCTGTAGACATCAGACTGTTTACATGTCTGACATCAGTAGACATCAGACTGTTTACATGTCTGACTCTGTAGACATCAGACTGTTTACATGTCTGACTCACATGTAGACATCAGACTGTTCACATGTCTGACTTTGTAGACATCAGACTGTTTACATGTCTGACTCTGTAGACATCAGACTGTTTACATGTCTGACTCTGTAGACATCAGACTGTTTACATGTCTGACTCTGTAGACATCAGACTGTTTACATGTCTGACTCAGTAGACATCAGACTGTTTACATGTCTGACTCAGTAGACATCAGACTGTTTACATGTCTGACTCAGTAGACATCAGACTGTTTACATGTCTGACTCTGTAGACATCAGACTGTTTACATGTCTGACTCTGTAGACAGACTGTTTACATGTCTGACTTATTAGACATCAGACTGTTTACATGTCTGACTCTGTAGACATCAGACTGTTTACATGTCTGACTCTGTAGACATCAGACTGTTTACATGTCTGACTCTGTAGACATCAGACTGTTTACATGTCTGACTCTGTAGACATCAGACTGTTTACTTGTCTGACTCTGTAGACATCAGACTGTTTACATGTCTGACTCTGTAGACATCAGACTGTTTACATGTCTGACTCTGTAGACATCAGACTGTTTACATGTCTGACTCTGTAGACATCAGACTGTTTACATGTCTGACTCTGTAGACAGACTGTTTACATGTCTGACTTATTAGACATCAGACTGTTTACATGTCTGACTCTGTAGACATATGAATACATCAGACTGTTTACATGTAGACATCAGACTGTTTACATGTCTGACTCTGTTTACATGTCTGACTCTGTAGACATCAGACTGTTTACATGTCTGACTCTGTAGACATCAGACTGTTTACAGTTAGACATCAGACTGTTTACATGTCTGACTCAGTAGACATCAGACTGTTTACATGTCTGACTCTGTAGACATCAGACTGTTTACATGTCTGACTCTGTAGCCATCAGACTGTTTGCATGTCTGACTCTGTAGACATCAGACTGTTTACATGTCTGACTCAGTAGACATCAGACTGTTTACATGTCTGACTCTGTAGACATTAGACTGTTTACATGTCTGACTCTGTAGACATCAGATTGTTTACATGTCACTCTGAGACATCAGTGTTTACATGTCTGACTCTGTAGACATCAGACTGTTGACATGTCTGACTCTGTAGACATCAGTCTGTTTTCATGTCCGACTCTGTAGCCATCTGACTGTTTACATGTCTGACTTATTAGACATCAGACTGTTTACATGTCTGACTCTGTAGACATCAGACTGTTTACATGTCTGACTCTGTAGACATAAGACTGTTTACATGTCCGACTATTTAGAAATCAGACTGTTTACATGTCTTACTCTGTAGAGATCAAACTGTTTACATGTCTGACTCTGTAGACAGACTGTTTACATGTCTGACTTATTAGACATCAGACTGTTTACATGTCTGACTCTGTAGACATCAGACTGTTTACATGTCTGACTCTGTAGACATCAGACTGTTTACATGACATCAGACTGTTTACATGTCTGACTCTGTAGACATCAGACTGTTTACATGTCCGACTCTGTAGACATCAGACTGTTTACATGTCTGACTCAGTAGACATCAGACTGTTTACATGTCTGACTCTGTAGACATCAGACTGTTGACATGTCTGAAGACATCAGACTGTTTACATGTCTGACATCAGACTGTTTACATGTCTGACTCTGTAGACATCAGACTGTTTACATGTCTGACTCTGTAGACATCAGACTGTTTACATGTCTGACTCTGTAGACATCAGACTGTTTACATGTCTGACTCTGTAGACATCAGACTGTTTACATGTCTGACTCTGTAGACTGTCTGACTCTGTAGACATCAGACTGTTTACATGTCTGACTCTGTAGACATCAGACTGTTTACATGTCTGACATCAGACTGTTTACATGTGTGACTCAGACATCAGACTGTTTACATGTCTGACTCTGTTTACATGTCTGACTCAGACTGTTTACATGTCTGACTCTGTAGACTGACTAAGTAGACATCAGACTGTTTACATGTCTGACTCTGTAGACATCAGACTGTTTACATGTCTGACTCTGTAGACATCAGACTGTTTACATGTCTGACTCTGTAGACATCAGACTGTTTACATGTCTGACTCTGTAGACATCAGACTGTTTACATGTCTGACTCTGTAGACATCAGACTGTTGACATGTCTGACTCTGTAGACATCAGGCTGTTTACATGTCCGACTCTGTAGCCATCAGACTGTTTACATGTCTGACTCTTTAGACATCAGACTGTTTACATGTCTGACTCAGTAGACATCAGACTGTTTACATGTCTGACTCTGTAGACATCAGACTGTTTACATGTCTGACTCTGTAGACATCAGACTGTTTACATGTCTGACTCTGTAGACATCAGACTGTTTACATGTCTGACTCAGTAGACATCAGACTGTTTACATGTCTTACTCTGTAGAGATCAGACTGTTTACATGTCTGACTCTGTAGACATCAGACTGTTTACATGTCCGACTCTTTAGACATTAGACTGTTTACATGTCTGACTCTTTATACATCAGACTGTTTACATGTCTTACTCTGTAGAGATCAAACTGTTTACATGTCTGACTCTGTAGACAGACTGTTTACATGTCTGACTTATTAGACATCAGACTGTTTACATGTCTGACTCTAGACATCAGACTGTTTACATGTCTGATCTGACTCTGTAGACATCAGACTGTTTACATGTCTGACTCAGTAGACATCAGACTGTTTACATGTCTGACTCAGTAGACATCAGACTGTTTACATGTCTGACTCAGTAGACGTCAGACTGTTTACATGTCTGACTCTGTAGACATCAGACTGTTTACATGTCTGACTCAGTAGACATCAGACTGTTTACATGTCTGACTCTGTAGACATCAGACTGTTTACATGTCTGACTCAGAAGACATCAGACTGTTTACATGTCTGACTCTGTAGACATCAGACTGTTTACATGTCTGACTCTGTAGACATCAGACTGTTTACATGTCTGACTCAGTAGACATCAGACTGTTTACATGGCTGACTCTGTAGACATCAGACTGTTTACATGTCTGACTCAGTAGTCATCAGACTGTTTACATGTCTGACTCTGCATCTCTGACTCTGTAGACATCAGACTGTTTACATGTCTGACTCTGTAGACATCAGACTGTTTACATGTCTGACTCTGTAGACATCAGACTGTTTACATGTCTGACTCAGTAGACATCAGACTGTTTACATGTCTGACTCAGTAGACATCAGACTGTTTACATGTCTGACTCAGTAGACATCAGACTGTTTACATGTCTGATTCAGTAGACATCAGACTGTTTACATGTCTGACTCTGTAGACATCAGACTGTTCACATGTCTGACTTTGTAGACATCAGACTGTTTACATGTCTGACTCTGTAGACAGACTGTTCACATGTCTGACTTTGTAGACATTAGGCTGACATGTCTGACTCTGTAGACATCAGACTTTTGTACATGTCTCAGACTGTTTACATGTCTGACTACATGTCTGACTTTGTAGACATCAGACTGTTTACATGTCTGACTCTGTAGACATCAGATTGTTTACACGTCTGACTCTGTAGACATCAGACTGTTTACATGTCTGACTCAGTAGACATCAGACTGTTTACATGGCTGACTCTGTAGACATCAGACTGTTTACATGTCTGACTCTGTAGACATCAGACTGTTTACATGTCTGACTCTGTAGACATCAGACTGTTTACATGTCTGACTCTGTAGACATCAGACTGTTTACATGTCTGACTCTGTAGCCATCAGATTGTTTACACGTCTGACTCTGTAGACATTAGACTGTTTACATGTCTGACTCTGTAGACATCAGACTGTTTACATGTCTGACTCAGTAGACATCAGACTGTTTACATGTCTGACTCAGTAGACATCAGACTGTTTACATGTCTGACTCTGTAGACATCAGATTGTTTACATGTCTGATTCAGTAGACATCAGACTGTTTACATGTCTGATTCAGTAGACATCAGACTGTTTACATGTCTGACTCTGTAGACATCAGACTGTTTACATGTCTGACTCTTTAGACATCAGACTGTTTACATGTCTGACTCAGTAGACATCAGACTGTTTACATGTCTGACTCTGTAGACATTAGGCTGTTTGCATGTCTGGCTCTGTAGACATCAGACTGTTTACATGTCTGATTCAGTAGACATCAGACTGTTTACATGTCCGACTCTTTAGACATCAGACTGTTTACATGTCTGACTCAGTAGACATCAGACTGTTTACATCAGACTGTTTACATGTCTGACTCTGTAGGCATCAGGCTATTTACACGGTTTGCCCTGTAGATGTCCGGCTGTGTAGACATCAGACTGTTTACACATCTAGCTGTGTAGACATTCATCACATTATTGAGGTGATAATACGAGTGACAAATCCCATCCTCAAAGCCAGATGTCAGATTGGACATTTTAATACAATGAATTCAGTCATTCATTGGTGCCTAGTTAATGTGCTAGATCTCCCTTATGTGTCATAGGCCCATGTTTCTGGGTATTTTTTTTTATGTAAACATTATTTATTTTGCAAGAATTGTGATACAAGTCATGGCATTTATACTAATCACTCTTGTTGTCCTGGAGTGTAGGGTTATTATTTTACTGTGGTACCCAGGGAAAACTACAGTTAGTTGACCCTGTACCTTTTCACGTCTGTTTCAAGAATCGATCCCTGAGCCCGTAGATGAAAGGCGAGTGCATTACCACTGTTCCACTTGTCCACCCCAACTGTTTACGGATCTATACACTTACACACACTAACAAAATATTTTATGCAGGGCTGCTATTTATGATTTGTGTGGTTGCTTTAAAGATGTCAGTATGAAATATTGTATGTGATTGTACCTATTATTTTATTATATTCACTGTATGTTGTTCTAGGTGATGATACACAGTTAACAGGGAGAGAGAACTAACAAGATGAGGAGGAGGAAGGATGGATCTATGTTTACTGTGGTTAAATACATTTTCTTCTTCTTCAATGTCCTTATATGGGTATGTAAGCAAAGGACCAAGTGAATTTATAATTGTAGCATCTATCCGTCAGTCTGTCAATTTTTTTTCTAAAATTTGGTCAGAAGCATCCTTGGGGGTAAAGAGACACAAATTTGTATAAGTGGTAGGTCTTGGCCCTATGGGGTATAAGGGGCAGGACTCAATAGCAAACATAGAGCAAATTCTTTAAAATAGGCCTTCTGTAGGAATGATTGAATTTTGCTCAAATTTGGTCTGGAGTATCCTTCGGTGAACGGAAATTAATTTTGCATAAACAGCGGGTCTCTGATCACTGGGGCGGGCCCTACAGAGGAAATATAGCATTTCAGAAAAAAAATTGGTTTGAATCACCCTTTGGTAAAGGGTACTGAATTTTGTATGAACAGATCTAGAGGGTCTCCGGCTACTGGGTATGGGAGAGTCAAGGTGCCATGGCACAGACTCACTGGTCCTTCAGACCAAGTGATTTAAAAAGGAACACTGAAGAAACTATTTTTCATATCCAGCAGCAATTTTTCTCCAGATGTTCTGAACTCTCTAGTTGTAGATACACTTAGGTTAAATAACACTGTGTTATACAATGTATGTATCATTATATAATAATGCTCATATGTTATTTGCATCCTTTTTAGTTACTTGGCTGTGGCGTGTTGGCTGTAGGCATCTGGATACAGGTCAATAAAGGTCCATATATAGCCATCCTGCCTAGTCATAGTTTCCTGAGTGCATCAGCATTGTGCATCGCAGTGGGAGCCATCATTCTTATTGTCGGCTTTTGTGGTTGTTGTGGTGCTCTGGTAGAAAATCAATGTATGCTTGTAGCCGTAAGTAGATGTTACACAGGTACAGCATTCTGATTAGTGAGCTTAGATTTTTAGTTCAGAAATATTTCCTTTTTATGTATGTGTTCAAGTCAGAACTTTTACAATAAGTTCCATCAATACTTTGTAGCATAAATATAGATTTTGTATAAGTAGAAAATTGACTAAATCTAGCACTTAGTTTGGACTCAAATTTAGCTCCTGTATGCTGCAGTATTTTGTCTTTTTGCATGTTGCAGTATTTTGTCTTTGTGTTCGTGATATTTGGACTAGAGGTGGCCATAACTGTTCTGGGTTTCTCCAACAAACACCAGGTAAGTAAAGATAAATACTTGTATACCACAATCAATTAAGAATGATCTGTTAATGAATAGCAAGTCATTGTACTAATCAAATCATGTGATATGAACCATTCTCAACTTGTGTAAAAGGAATACCATTCAAAGGGATTAAAAAGTTAAATTTTCATTTCACAACTGATAAAATGGGTTATAACATTTAATTATCTGGTAAAAGTTTGCATAATCATTTAAGGATTAAATTTTCATCCCATGAAATCGACATAAGCACAATTCAATCCTTATATTTCAACTTTAATGAAATTTAAATAATACTGTGCAACAAAGACTGCCGGTTCGCAAACGAAGTGGTGTCGGCCATTTTTTTACAGGCACCAAAGCAGAGAACAAGAAATATCAGGCTTCAGTCGCTTCACATCTTTTGAAACGTAAACTTACAGTTATTAAATGTTAAATACACAATTCTTTTTTTATAATTTTATTAATAGTTTTCAATAGTTTTTAAATTTTTATTTTGATGTTTTTAAATCTCATACCTGTGGTATATTGCCAGTTTAGCAGAAGTTGGGGAGTTTTCTCCCCTTACCTAATATTTGTATTCATACGCACTGGCAATGTTAAATGTAACAGATCGCATTTAGTAGTTTCATTGAGTCTGATTTGGGTAGAAATTGAAATATATATTGAAAAAGTAAAAAAATTAAGATGAAATAGGAAACCCAACACTAATTCATATCATTATCATTCAGAGAGTGTACACAATGTCTTGCACATGCCAGATATGGAAGAAATTAAGGAACCATAACAAAGTGAGGGATTAAAACGAGGTTCCAAAAGGTCATATGGTGAATTATACTATCTTTGATTAAAACCGAGAATGGCATTAGACACAAGAGACTGTTGACCAATGGTAGTTTGAAGCTGATGACGTTTATCATTTTTTTTCAAAAAGTGCTGTAATTTTGTGAATAGTCTAATTTAAGTATCACAAAGCTTGCCTGAATTCATACGCATCAAAAAATAAGGAAATCTAACAATCTAGTCCCTTCACACAATTAATTCAATTTTATTTGTTCTAATTCACAGATTCGTTCAACAGCTGAGCAGGAATTGACATACAGCATAGAACATGTGACAAGTCCAAGGATTGAGAAGACACACCAGGAAGGCGTCCTAGCTATGATAGACACCATACAACATGATGTAAGTGTAACTAGTCCTAGGGTAGACACACCAGGAAGGCGTCCTAGCTATGATAGACACCATACAACATGATGTAAGTGTAACTAGTCCTAGGGTAGACACACCAGGAAGGCGTCCTAGCTATGATAGACACCATACAACATGATGTAAGTGTAACTAGTCCTAGGGTAGACACACCAGGAAGGCGTCCTAGCTATGATAGACACCATACAACATGATGTAAGTGTAACTAGTCCTAGGGTAGACACACCAGGAAGGCGTCCTAGCTATGATAGACACCATACAACATGATGTAAGTGTAACTAGTCCTAGGGTAGACACACCAGGAAGGCGTCCTAGCTATGATAGACACCATACAACATGATGTAAGTGTAACTAGTCCTAGGGTAGACACACCAGGAAGGCGTCCTAGCTATGATAGACACCATACAACATGATGTAAGTCCTAGGGTAGACACACCAGGAGGCGTCCTAGCTATAATAGACACCATACAACATGATGTAAGTGTAACTAGTCCTAGGGTAGACACACCAGGAAGGCGTCCTAGCTATGATAGACACCATACAACATGATGTAAGTGTAACTAGTCCTAGGGGGGTTGCAAAGGAAGTCCTGCCATCTTGGAATAGTTGCTATGTCATTTAGTTTTCGGCTCATGCATTAACATTGCTGTGTTTGTTAGTCTGCAATACCAACCAAGATATGAAACAAGGTCAACACTGCATTGCCATATACATAGAGAAAGAAAGAAGTGGAGGGCATTATGATCTGTTTGGATTACCTCCCTTTTATGATGCTTTCGTTAACTTTTTAAACAAACAGTGTATAAAGTGGACATATAACCCTATTCGAATACAGCAACTCAACACTCTAGTGTGTGGTCAGTACTGTATATTTTATTTGGTACACAGAGAAAGGGATGGCAATATCTGACTTAAATACTAGAAAAGATTTCAATGCAAACAGTTATCTTGTAGATAGTTTTGTTCAAAGTCTAATAAGTGGTCAATAAGGTAAAGGGCAATAGCTGTGTCAAAAACCAAAATCAAAGAAAAAAAAGGTCTATAAGACCTTAAAAATGCAGCGGTCAACAATGAGTGGCTTTGTCATCGATGATACCCTGTTTGATATGGGTTCTTTACATTTTCCTGACAATTGTAAACAACCTGGGTGACAAGTAGCCATCATTAGAATGAAAAGTTAAGTTTTGCAAATAAGAAATGTAATATGTTAATATTTTTGTATGTCAAAAAACAAAATGCTATTGTCAGTATAAAATGCAAACCTGTAATATTTTGGAAGTAAGAATTGTAAAGTGCTAAAATTTTGTCAATAAAAACATCAAAAACTCATACCAGCAGCAAAACAGCAGCAAACAACAGCAGCAAAAACAGCAGCAAACAACAGCAGCAAAAACAGCAGCAAACAACAGCAGCAAAAACAGCAGCAAACAACAGCAGCAATTGCCCTAGAATAGCAGGAAAAGTTTGATTTTTTTTTTTGTCATCATTACATTAATAATTACAATTAAATAAAAATGTAATTGTGTAAGTGAAAAATGTAAATTTAGTAAATAGAAAATGTGATAATTTGAAGATATGTAATAATATTATGTTTTTTTTGTCAGTAAAAAAGTAATATTTCTTCATAAAAAGTGTAACAATTATTTTCTTGCATGCAAAATACCAACAATATATGCCCAAACACACCATATAAGTCATATTCCGCTGTAAAAGAAAGGATGTATACACACCACAGTACAGCTGAAAATTTACTGACATCAAAACCAACCTGTCAGTCAAAATATATACTCTACCATAGCCAAAAAAATCAACGATGTCATTAAAACCAACCTGTCAGTCAAAATACATATTCTACCCTAGCCAAAAAAATCAACGATGTCATTAAAACCAACCTGTCAGTCAAAATATATATTCTACCCTAGCCAAAAAAATCAACGATGTCATTAAAACCAACCTGTCAGTCAAAATATATATTCTACCCTAGCCAAAAAAATCAACGATGTCATTAAAACCAACCTGTCAGTAAAAATATATATTCTACCCTAGCCAAAAAAATCAATGACATTGTCAACACCAAGCGGTCAGTCGAGTAACATAGGAGGGTAGAACAGGGGAGACGATTAGTGTCAAGGATGATAATTCAGTGAGTAATGACGTCATACCTAACTTTAGTTTAAGGGGGTGCTCAGGAAGAGACGCCATTCTGGATTTCAGTTCCAATATGGTAGAACTTCCTTTGTTTCAGCATGCCAGGGTAAATGTTAAGGTCATCATTACTATTCATTGTAACACAACTTCATTTTAAATTGTAGTGAGGGGATTTGTATCATTTGTAATGCCTTGTTGATATCTGATTTTAGCTCATTTAATCTGGTGTATTTATTCATTAAATATCTATGAAATAGTAAGTAGATGTGATATTTTCCCAGCTCCAGTGTTGTGGTATGAACAATTACACTGACTGGTACACCATTGGGAACCTGTCCAAAGGAGAGTCCATCCCATCTTCTTGTTGTATATACAAGGGAGAGAACTGTGGCAAATCCACCAACCTTCGCTTTTACAAACGAGTGAGTCATCGATAATATTCATACTTTGGTCACTTAAAGTTTTCTCACCATATTTGGTAATGTCCATGTAGAACATATATATCAGAATGTGTGTATATATACTAGAACTGGACTACATATGTCACATACTCTGTGGACTTATATAAGAAAATGTTTTCATCTATAAAATAACTGAATGGTGATTTATTTTTCTTTAGGGATGTTTGAAGGAGATTGAGTATTGGTTCCTGCAAAATATGTATGTGCTAGGTATCGTGGCACTTCTAGTCGGGGTAGTACAGGTAAGTTTACTGGTGCTGGGGATGGTGACACTTCTAGTTGGGACAGGTAAGTTTACTGGTGCTGGGGATGGTGACACTTCTAGTCGGGGTAGTACAGGTAAGTTTACTGGTGCTGGGGATGGTGACACTTCTAGTCGGGGTAGTACAGGTAAGTTTACTGGTGCTGGGGATGGTGACACCTGTAGTCGGGGTAGTACAGGTAAGTTTACTGGTGCTGGGGATGGTGACACTTCTAGTTGGGGTAGTACAGGTAAGTTTACTGGTGCTGGGGATGGTGACACCTGTAGTCGGGGTAGTACAGGTAAGTTTACTGGTGCTGGGGATGGTGACACCTCTAGTCGGGGTAGTACAGGTAAGTTTACTGGTGCTGGGGATGGTGACACCTCTAGTCGGGGTAGTACAGGTAAGTTTACTGGTGCTGGGGATGGTGACACCTCTAGTCGGGGTAGTACAGGTAAGTTTACTGGTGCTGGGGATGGTGACACTTCTAGTCGGGGTAGTACAGGTAAGTTTACTGGTGCTGGGGATGGTGACACTTCTAGTCGGGGTAGTACAGGTAAGTTTACTGGTGCTGGGGATGGTGACACTTCTAGTCGGGGTAGTACAGGTAAGTTTACTGGTGCTGGGGATGGTGACACTTCTAGTTGTGGTAGTACAAATAATTTCACCTCTTTATGTTGATGTGTTGATCCTATATCAGTGATAATGGTTGGAATGTAAAGGCGCCCAATATTAGAAGATAAGACGTTTTTCACCCATGGTCCGTTATAAATTCTTTGTATTTTCAGGTGTTTGCAAACAGTTCTAGTTATAATTATTTAAAATCAGTATTCACTTTAACATTGGATTGGTATCTTGATTTTCTGAAACATTGAGAATAAACTTGAAGGAAAATTTAATGTTGTTTTTGACAGATTTCAGCAATGGTAGCAGCTGTGGCATTGTTTTGTTGCCTGAGAAAGGACGAATATCTGTAGGGAGGTACAATTATCTCCAGAAAGATACAAACATGGTATGAATATCTAAAGATCACCCATCTCCTAATGATCTCTAATAAGAAATGAATCTGTGAGACCTGTGTTGCTGAGACAGATAACGATACAGAGAGGAGGGCTTATGCTTGGAGAATCTCCGTGGAGGAATGTCCCCCCACCCCCAACATCAGTGTAATTAATTGTGCTTATTAGTAATTTGAGATTGTTAGAGTGATTTCATCGGAACCGATTCCTTTGGGAACAGGTGTTGATTGAGCGGTATTATGTGATCGAGTTAAGACCTGTGTTTTATCTAGCTGTATAGTCATGTGATTAGAGAGTGTGTATTGTTAAAAGTGTTGATCACCACTCTGTCTAATTAAACTCAGTTAACTAGAAACGAGATATGATTATGTATGTTATCACATCAAACAGAAACACCATAGAAAAAATGACATTCAAGATCTCAAACTCTGACAGTCAATCTTACCTTCATAATGTCATCATATTGTGGAATGGAATCCATTATCATGTTAATGTTTACGAGTTGCCCGCTGATTTTTAATGGCAAAACAACATTTTGTTTTATTATATATCTGTATAATATTACCATTTGTAGAAAGCTTTGGGTCCACATACATACCTATACAAGTTTTATAAGTCAGTGAGCTGAAGTTTTCTGTAAACTTGTACACAATTTTATGTCAGTGAGCTGAAGTTTTCTGTAAACTTGTACACAATTTTATGTCAGTGAGCTGAAGTTTTCTGTAAACTTGTACACAATTTTATGTCAGTGAGCTGAAGTTTACTGTAAACTTGTACACAATTTTATGTCAGTGAGCTGAAGTTTACAGTAAAGTTGTACACATTTTTATGTCAGTGAGCTGAAGTTTTCTGTAAACTTGTACACAATTTTATGTCAGTGAGCTGAAGTTTTCTGTAAACTTGTAGACAATTTTATGTCAGTGAGCTGAAGTTTACAGTAAACTTGTAGACATTTTTATGTCAGTGAGCTGAAGTTTTCTGTAAACTTGTACATGCTTTTTTGTCAGTGAGCTGAAGTTTACTGTAAACTTGTACACATTTTTATGTCAATGAGCTGAAGTTTACAGTAAACTTTAACATGTTTCTATGTCAGTGAGCTGAAGTTTACTGTAAACTTGTACATGTTTTTTGTCAGTGAGCTGAAGTTTACTGTAAACTTGTACACATTTTTATGTCAGTGAGCTGAAGTTTTCTGTAAACTTGTACATGTTTTTTGTCAGTGAGCTGAAGTTTACAGTAAACTTGTACACATTTTTATGTCAGTGAGCTGAAGTTTTCTGTAAAATTTAACATGTTTTTATGTCAGTGAGCTGAAGTTTACAGTAAACTTTAACATGTTTTTATGTCAGTGAGCTGAAGTTTTCTGTAAACTTTAACATGTTTTTATGTCAGTGAGCTGAAGTTTTCTGTAAACTTGTACACAATTTTATGTCAGTGAGCTGAAGTTTACAGTAAACTTTAACATGTTTTTTTGTCAGTGAGCTGAAGTTTACTGTAAACTTGTACATGTTTTTATGCCAGTGAGCTGAACTTTACTTTAAATATTTTTATGTCAGTGAGCTGAAGTTTGAAGTTAACTGTAAACTTGTACATTCTTTTTGTCAGTATGCAGAAGTTTACTGTAAACTTGTACATTCTTTTTGTCAGTATGCAGAAGTTTACTGTAAACTTGTACATTCTTTTTGTCAGTATGCAGAAGTTTACTGCTGCAGTGTAAATTTTGTAATTACATTTATATTCTATTGTCCATAAATGTGGAAATATCCCTCAAAGTTCTTTCCATTTCTGTCTGAAAATTCCCTTTCCTGTGTGAATGAACATGGAGAAATACATTACTTTGGAGAGCCAAGACCATAAATCAAACTCAGGTTGCCAGCTCTACCAATCCATCCAAACAAGCATGTTCTCTTAGCTTGGTGACAGAGACCGTATTTAACACTATATACAAGCCACACCGACCCATCAGCTTGGTGACAGAGACCGCATTTAACACCATATACAAGCCACACCGACGCTAAGCTTGGTGACAGAGGCCGTATTTAACACTATATACAAGCCACACCAACCCATCAGCTTGGTGACAGAGACCGTATTTAACACCATATACAAGCCACAGCGACTGATCAGCTTGGTGACAGAGACCGTATTTAACACTATATACAGGCCTCACTGACCCCTAAGCTTGGTGACAGAGGCCGTATTTAACACTATATACAAGCCACACCGACCCATCAGCTTGGTGACAGAGGCCGTATTTAACACTATATACAAGCCACACCAACCTGTCCGCTTGGTGACAGAGGCCGTATTTAACATTATATACAAGCCACACCAACCTGTCCGCTTGGTGACAGAGGCCGTATTTAACATTATATACAAGCCACACCGACCCATCAGCTTGGTGACAGAGACTGTATTTAACACTATATACAAGCCACACCGACCCATCAGCTTGGTGACAGAGGCCGTATTTAACACTATATACAAGCCACACCAACCTGTCTGCTTGGTGACAGAGACCGTATTTAACATTATATACAAGCCACACCGACCCATCAGCTTGGTGACAGAGGCCGTATTTAACACTATATACAAGCCACACCAACCTGTCTGCTTGGTGACAGAGACCGTATTTAACATTATATACAAGCCACACCAACCTGTCCGCTTGGTGACAGAGGCTGTATTCGACACTATATACAAGGGTCTTGAAGAAGGATAGATATTGACCATTTGATTGGTCCAGTTTACTGCTCCAGAGCTCATCAAGGACCATGGCGGATAACCTTTTCATACATGTAATGATTAATATTTAAAATGACTACATTGCTTGGCCATTTTGTTGACATGTTGTCTGTTGGTGTAGTGTACTGGTGTGGTTCCGAATTATCAATCTAAAATATAATGGTTGTTGAATTGATGCTACAATGTGCCAATGTGCTGTAAGTAATAATATAACATTGAATTTGTTAAATATAGTAGGATCTTATTGGCTATTCATTTTATAGATATTGTGAAAGGCTTTTTAGAAGTTTTTGTGAGCTTGGACGAGCAAAAGTTAAAACATCCAGAACATGTTAAGTACAATTATCACATGAAATGAAAGACTTGTCGTATAACTCAGAAAAGTTTCAGTTAAACAAGTTTACACTAAAGATGTAGTATATTACATGCAGAAATATGACATGCTTTGGGGTTAATTTACTGTATAACAATTATGTGATAAAAACTTGACTCGACATCAGATGTATCAAAATACATGTCAAGTGCTCAGACACCTCTGGTTTGGATTTGGTGTCAGAATTGTGATGTCTCAATAAAGCAAAAACTATGAGAAATCTTTCAGAAATAAACCGGTTTCCACCAAAAAAGTGTGATAAATTGGTATACTTCTTTGCAGATTTAAGACATTAAGAAACAATTCTAAGATTGATTTTTCTCTAGAAGTATTTTCTCACGATTTTTCCTCCAATGCTTGCTTTATCATCAATACACTGTAAATGACATTATACTTTGTCTTATGTACTTTGCAATAAAGTGTTGTTTTTTCATATTTAAAGTCTAGTATTTTGTTCCTGCACAATGTGCTGCTACATACAAGTATGGCAACTTATTGGATTCAGTCTGAATACTATATGTACAAAGTAGTTACATTTTTACAATTTTTCATGCATTTCTATATTTTGCAAATCATCTTTTTTCCCATTAATCTACAGCATAGGAATTATAAGTTTCTGTCCAAATTTGTCTGAAGCATCCTTTGGAGAAGAGAAATAAGTTTTGTATAAACAGTGGATCTTAAGGCCCTCTGGGTCATGGCCACAACAGAGAAATTTTGCAAATTCTTTAAAATTCCTCTTCCATAGTAATGTTCCTGTCAAAAATTGGTCTGAAGCATCCTTTAGTGAAGAGAAATAAATTCTATATAAACAGCAGGTCTCGGGGAAGGAAGAGTAAGAGGAAATAGAACAAATTATTTAAAATAATTCTTTTGTGGGAATGCCAGGATTGTCCCAATTTGGTCTGCAGCATCCTTGGGTGAAGAGAAATCCATTTTGTATAAACAGTTGATGTCTGCATCCTGGAGCATGTCCAATAGGTGAAATAATATAAATTCTTTGAAATACTTCTCCTTCTGTAGGAATGCCAAGATTCTTTCTCAAATTTGTCTGAAGTATCTTTGGATGTCAATTTTCTGTAAACAGTGGATGTCAGCTCTCTTGCGGGCAGAGGTGCAGGGTCCAATGGGAAAAATAAATATAAATCTTTTCAATTCTCTAGCATGGTTAAAGTAAAACCAGGTGAGCAAATCAGTTGTGAATTAAAAGGTACCAAACATCCAGAGATTTGAAACATTTACAGAACTTTCTCTTAAAGCAAATGAGAGTGATATGCAATAGTAATTTCTTTTTGAAATCAGTAATAAAGAAGAGGTTCAGTGAACCTGTTTCATTCACATGTATTCAAGCTCAAGAAGAGGGAATTATGTTAGTAGGATATGCACCTATGAGAATTTTCCGCCGATTGGCGGATTTCCGCTTTTTTTGATGCTCCATAGATCGATCTTGAGATCAATGTAAATCCGGTGAGAAATTTGAGGGGGGTGGAGGGGGGGGGGGGGGGGGGGGAGTTATCTTGGGGTTCAGTGTCAGATGGACCTACTTATCTGCTGTATTATTAAATATGTTGAATCTTCATCTCTGTTAGGTTAGAAATGATATCCTGCTTCACGGCTTCCGAAAATTTAATCAAATGGGGATTGTCGATTTGATCGTATCGTTCAGTCGAAATTGGTAGACCGCCACCATACAGGGTCAAAGGGAGGTAATCCTTACCAAAAGATGTTTTAACGACGTTTCCCCCAGCCAACCTTTCAGATTTTTTCATAGAACTGCATTCTCATCCCTGGATATGTTCAGATAACTTTTTTTTTTAAAAAAAACTTGATGCCCTTCTTTCCAAGTAACAACTCTGGGTCTTCTGATTTTAAAGAGAGAGAAAAAAAGTTTCCTCTGTCCGGAAAGTGAGTAGGTCATTTGAACACTTGACTGCTCTTCAACCCAGCAATGTTGTTGTTAGAAAATCTAAACCCTAAGCATGTTGTTTGCAAATTTTTATTTCTTCGTTGTTAGTTATTCATTTGAACAAACTTGATAGCTCTACCTCAACATGGTTCTTGACTTTGGGTGACTCTTAAATTACTGAGAAGTGGTTTCATGATTTTTATGCCTTTGATCTTAAAGGTCCTTAAGGTGGGTCAAGGTCTATCATTTAAAGTAACTTGAAAGCCCTCCATCCCAGTATGCCTAATTGTCCCATTTTGTTACAATTTGTTGAAGTGATTTTGGCTAAAATTGCAGTTTAGATCTGTCTTTACTTCAACCCTACACAACAGTGGTCAGAGCTGATAGACATTCATATTTCAACCCTACACAGCAGTGGTCAGGGATGATACATTCATATTTCAACCCTACACAACAGTGGTCAGAGCTGATAGATATTCACATTTCAACCCTACACAGCAGTGGTCAGGGCTGATAGACATTCACATTTCAACCCTACACAGCAGTGGTCAGGGCTGATAGACATTCACATTTCAACACTACACAGCAGTGGTCAGGGCTGATAGACATTCACATTTCAACCCTACACAGCAGTGGTCAGGGCTGATAGACATTCACATTTCAACCCTACACAGCAGTGGTCAGGGCTGATAGACATTCACATTTCAACCCTACACAGCAGTGGTCAGGGCTGATAGACATTCACATTTCAACACTACACAGCAGTGGTCAGGGCTGATAGACATTCACATTTCAACCCTACACAGCAGTGGTCAGGGCTGATAGACATTCACATTTCAACCCTACACAGCAGTGGTCAGAGCTGATAGACATTCACATTTCAACCCTACACAGCAGTGGTCAGGGCTGATAGACATTCATATTTCAACACTACACAACAGTGGTCAGGGATGATACATTCATATTTCAACCCTACACAGCAGTGGTCAGTGCTGATAGACATTCATATTTCAACCCTACACAGCAGTGGTCAGGGCTGATAGACATTCACATTTCAACACTACACAACAGTGGTCAGGGATGATACATTCATATTTCAACCCTACACAGCAGTGGTCAGGGCTGATAGACATTCACATTTCAACACTACACAACAGTGGTCAGGGATGATACATTCATATTTCAACCCTACACAGCAGTGGTCAGGGCTGATAGACATTCACATTTCAACCCTACACAGCAGTGGTCAGGGCTGATAGACATTTATATTTCAACCCTACACAGCAGTGGTCAGGGCTGATAGACATTCACATTTCAACCCTACACAGCAGTGGTCAGGGCTGATAGACATTCACATTTCAACCCTACATAGCAGTGGTCAGGGCTGATAGACATTCATACAACAAAGTAAAACAACAGCAAATCATTATTTTTAATATGCCCAATTGTAGATTTACAACAACTGTGGTCTAGTCCTTGAATGATAATCTCTTCAATAGACGTAGCCTATACAAAACAGATATTTTGGACTAGTAAGATTTCTAGAAGACTTAAAATGCTTTCGCCATTTTTGGGTAAAAGTTGAAGACCAAGTACTGTAACTATTTTTACAGTAATCTTATAGCAGTACTTTTAGCAGTGAAAGTATGTAAATATTCATGTAACTCTGGTAGATAAGAATGATAACATTTTGCTTCTATAGTAATCTTTATTGATGTATAAATTTATCCTTGCTCATATTTGCCAAGTGATAGTAAGCTAAAATTTTGTTTTGCTAAATCAAGTATGTTTGAAGTAACTATTTAGCTTGACTTCTGTATTCCTAATGGAATCGCTTGATCATAAAATATAATCAACAACAAAGAAGTGTTAGGTTTTCAATTTTACCTGAAAATACTTGCTGAATCCTACATAAAAAGTGTGTTTTGGTCAGAAATCTCACAAGTCTGTCAATCCTCAGTACATAGAAATCTTCCACTAGAACGTCCATCCAATTCTATTGGTGAAATATTTTACAAAATAAAAAAAGAGCGGGCCATGGCCCTTAATGGTCATCTGACAATCGACACATGGATGGACAAACAACAGAATTCACTGATGGTGGTCTGACAAATCTGATGAATGTTGAACATTCCTTGAAAGTATCAGAAACTCAAAAATGGTAGGTGCTGTGCATGAAAAACAGTTGCACAATAATGTTACAGAATAACTACTGTGTTTTTTCTTCAGAAAAAAAAATCCAAATATTTTTCTCATTGATGTGATTGAAACATGAGAAGTTTAGACTACTTGTTCATGTTGGATTTCACACCAAAGTGTAAAATAAGATTTGGTCAGGACAATCTCAGGATCACTTCATGAATGTTTGATACCATTGCCACTCCCTGATAATGTTGAAGTAAAATATTGTCTAATTTCCCCTTTTGGAGCCTTGCCCCCAAGTCCCTAGGGGTTGAATCAAATTTCTGAATTTAAGAAAATGATTCCCTCCCCTCAATGATGTTTCGGACCAAAATTTGTTGAAATCTACCCAGCGTTAAGTAGGAGTAGTGTTTTAAAGGAAAAGTTTTTGGACAGCTAACGGGGCACAACGATCGACGATGCACAAGAGCAATAGGAAAAAAAAATAGGATATCGCAAACTCTGCTGGTGTGTATTATCAGATGGAAACAGTTTTAACAAGAGTTTCAGTGCAACTGATGAATGCTTCCCCGAAACAACCTTATTGGACACAAAATTTAATCACAGGGCAATAATTCTGTAATAAAGTTGAAGGCTTTGAATTATGCAAGAGAGAGTTATGGTTCTTGTACACTGTACTTCTCCTTATTGAGATCTACCTATCAAGTTTAATGTTGATACCACATATAGTTTTAATGATATGCTCTGGACAAAATTATGACAGACAGCGGACAAACAGACACACAAATTATCTATCACAGCACCTCTTGGAAGTAATCTTTATTTTCCATAGGTTTGACAGGACTGCCAGTATACGGGTCCCAAGAGCACTTATCATTTAACATCTGCAACATTCTTTCATAGTATTTACATACATTTTACACTTGCCAAAAATACACTTAAGAATATTTTTGTTCATAGTATCTGTCAGTGTGTTTGTGTTTCTACCCATGAAGTCATTCATTTCACAATTATCAAGGCTGACAATAAGCCTATATAATATTTCCACATGCAAGTTAATGTTTCAAACAGTATACTCAAATATTGTGCAGTATCTACACAGAGAGACCAATTGAAAGTTTATATTAATGAAATGGTGATTCTTATGACATGGCATATTATTTGAGAACTTGTTCTGATTGTGGTAATAGAGACTGATTGCCACCGAGATCACCCAGACATTTGCATAAATCTCAGCTTGCTTCTACTGCCTGGCCATCTTCTCCTGGTTCAATGTTCTCTGACGATTCCTCTTTAGGATCTTCTTTATCTGCTTTATTAACCCCCTGCAAAGACAATCAAAAGTTGTTGGAGATTCCAGAATCAAATATTTAACAACACCAATGATTAGGCCACATGAATTAAAGCTCAGTCACTTTAACTCTTTGATGGGGCAAGAACAATGGGTAAATTCTTATATCATGACTATCATTCTCTTTTAATTTCCAGTTAGAGTATATATGGTTATCAGGTTGGTATCCCAATTATAAACATAATATGATCCAGAAATAATGTACCAGGGGCGATTTCCTTCACCCTAAGACACTTCTGGCCAAATTTGGGCAAAATCCAATAATTCCTACAGTAGGAAAAGGATTTTAAAGAATTGGCTCTATTTCCCCTATTTGGCCCTGTCCCTCCCACCACAGGGGGCCCCGAGATCCATTGTTTATACAAAACAGATTCCCCTTCACCTGAACATGATTCACATCAATTAAGGACAAATTCAAATCATTCCTACTGGAGGATTTTAAAGAATTTGTTTTATTTCCCAATATTGGACCCCACCCTTCCCGCCCCAGGGGGCAGAGATCCGCTGTTTATACAAGACTAATTCCCTTTCACCCAAACATGATTCAGAACAAAAGCTGATCATTTTCTATTTACCAAAAGATGCTAAAGACCAAATTTGGTCAAAATCCCCTCAGCTGTTCAGGACTTAAAAAACAATGTGACCTCATCCCAAATTGGCAATGATTTAACATCATCTTTAAATTCTAAAATTAAACTTTTACCTGACAATTATATCATAACATGATAAAGAATTACACTGTGGAGATAACTATTCACACCAAGGACGGACTACTGCATGATAAAAATTAACAATTAGAATGTCACAATAAATATTATCTCTGAAAATGACCACTATAATAGGGTTGATTTATCCATGATGAACACTAACAATAAGATTATTACATTTTTACATTTAAAACAGTAACAATGATTTTGACCTCTTGACCCACACACCCATCAATCCAGAACAACCTTGATTTTAATGATGATTAACAATAAAGCAATGCATACAGAATCCAAACCAGCAGATCAAAATGATATAACTCTACTAACAGTAGTGTTCAGTAACTACCTTTGGTTAAAAGTAACTACCTTTGGTTAATAGTAACTACCTGTGGTTTACAGTAACTACTTGTGGTTTATTGTAGTGTTTACAGTAACAACCAGTGGATTAGAGTAACTACCTGTGTTTACTGTAGTGTTTACAGTAACTTACCTGTGGTTTACTGTAGTGTTTACAATAACTACCTGTGGTTTACAGTATTTACCTGTGGTTTATTGTAGTGTTTACAGTAACTACCTGTGGTTTACTGTAGTGTTTACAGTAACTACCTGTGGTTTACAGTAACTTCCTGTGGTTTCCTGTAGTGTTTACAGTAACTACCTGTGGTTTACTGTAGTGTTGACAGTAACTACCTGTGGTTTACTGTAGTGTTTACAGTAACTACAAGCGGTTTACTATAGTGTTTACAGTAACTACCTGTGGTTTACTGTAGTGTTTAGTAGTGTTTACAATAACTACCTCTGGTTGACAGTAGTGTTTACAGTAACTACCTGTGGTTGACAGTAACTACCTGTGGTTTACTGTAGTGTTTACAGTAACTACCCGTGGTTAACTGTAGTGTTTACAGTAACTACCTGTGTTTACTGTAGTGTTTACAGTAACTACCTGTGGTTTACTGTAGGTTTACTGTAGTGTTTACAGTAACTACTGTAGTGTTTACAGTAACTACCTGTGGTTGCCAGTAGTGTTTACAGTAACTACCTGTGGTTTACTGTAGTGTTTACAGTAACTACCTGTGGTTTACTGTAGTATTGACAGTAACTTCCTGTGGTTTACTGTAGTGTTTACAGTAACTACCTGTGGTTTACAGTAACTTCCTGTGGTTTACTGTAGTGTTTACAGTAACTATCTGTGGTTTACTGTAGTGTTAACAGTAACTACCTGTGGTTAACTGTAGTGTTTACAGTAACTACCTGTGGTTTACTGTAGTGTTTACAGTAACTACCTGTGGTTTACTGTAGTGTTTACAGTAACTAACTGTGGTTTACTGTAGTGTTCACAGTAACTACCTGTGGTTTACAGTAACAACCTGTGTTTTACTGTAGTGTTAACAGTAACTACCTGTGGTTTACTGTAGTGTTAACAGTAACTACCTGTGGTTTACTGTAGTTTTAACAGTAACTACCTGTGGTTTACTGTAGTGTTTACAGTAACTACCTGTGGTTTACTGTAGTGTTTACAGTAACTACCTGTGGTTTACTGTAGTGTTGACAGTAACTACCTGTGGTTTACTGTAGTGTTTACAGTAACTACCTGTGGTTTCCTGTAGTGTTTACAGTAACTACCTGTGGTTTATGGTAGTGATAACAGTAACTACCTGTGGTTTACTGTAGTGTTGACAGTAACTACCTGTGGTTTACTGTAGTGTTTACAGTAACTACCTGTGGTTTACTGTAGTGTTTACAGTAACTACCTGTGGTTTACAGTAACTACCTGTGGTTTACTGTAGTGTTTACAGTAACTACAAGCAGTTTACTATAGTGTTTACAGTAACTACTTGTGGTTTACTGTAGTGTTTAATGTAACTACCTGTGGTTGTCAGTAACTACCTGTGGTTAACTGTAATGTTTAAAGTAACTACATGCGGTTTACTGTAGTGTTTACAGTAACTACCTGTGGTTTATTGTAGTGTTTACAGTAACTACCTGTGGTTTACAGTAACTACCTGTGGTTTACTGTAGTGTTAACAGTAACTACCTGTACTTTACTGTAGTGTTAACAGTAACTACCTGTACTTTACTGTAGTATTGACAGTAACTACCTGTGGTTTACTGTAGTGTTTACAGTAACTACCTGTGGTTTACTGTAGTATTGACAGTAACTACCTGTGGTTTACTGTAGTGTTTACAGTAACTACCTGTGGTTAACAGTAACTACCTGTGTTTTACTGTAGTGTTAACAGTAACTACTTGTGGTTTACTGTAGTGTTTACAGTAACTACCCGTGGTTAACTGTAGTGTTTACAGTAACTACCTGTAATGTTTAAAGTAACTACATGCGGTTTACTGTAGTGTTTACAGTAACTACCTGTGGTTTACTGTAGTGTTTACAGTAACTACCTGTGGTTTACTGTAGTGTTTACAGTAACTACCTGTGGTTTACTGTAGTATTGACAGTAACTTCCTGTGGTTTACTGTAGTGTTTACAGTAACTACCTGTGGTTGTCTGTAGTGTTTACAGTAACTACCTGTGGTTTATTGTAGTGTTTACAGTAACTACCTGTGGTTTACCTGTGGTTGCCAGTAGTGTTTACAGTAACTACCTGTGGTTGCCAGTAGTGTTTAACAGTAACTACCTGTGGTTTACTGTAGTGTTTACAGTAACTACCTGTGGTTTACTGTAGTCTTTACAGTAACTAACTGTGGTTTACAGTAGTGTTTACAGTAACTACCTGTGTTTACTGTAGTGTTTACAGTAACTACCTGTGGTTTACTGGAGTGTTAACAGTAACTACCTGTGGTTAACTGTAGTGTTTACAGTAACTACCTGTGGTTTACTGTAGTGTTGACAGTAACTACCTGTGGTTTACTACAGTGTTTACAGTCACTACAAGCGGTTTACTGTAGTGTTTACAGTAACTACCTGTGGTTTACTGTAGTGTTAACAGTAACTACCTGTGGTTAACTGTAGTGTTTACAGTAACTACCTGTGGTTTACTGTAGTGTTTACAGTAACTACCTGTGGTTTACAGTAACTTCCTGTGGTTTACTGTAGTGTTTACAGTAACTATCTGTGGTTTACTGTAGTGTTGACAGTAACTACCAGTGGTTTTCTGTAGTGTTTACAGTAACTACCTGTTTTACAGTAACTACCTGTGGTTTTTACTAGTGTGTTTACAGGTTTACAGTAACTACATGTGGTTTAACTACCTGTAGTAGTTTACAGTAACTACCTGTGGTTTACTGTAGTGTTTACATTAACTACCTGTGGTTGTCAGTAGTGTTTACAGTAACTACCTGTGGTTTACTGTAGTGTTTACAGTAACTACCTGTGGTTTACTGTAGTGTTGACAGTAACTACCTGTGGTTTACTGTAGTGTTTACAGTAACTACCTGTGGTTTACTGGAGTGTTAACAGTAACTACCTGTGGCTAACTGTAGTGTTTACAGTAACTACCTGTGGTTTACCGTAGTGTTGACAGTAACTGTGGTTTACAGTAACTACCTGTGGTTTACTGTACAGTAACTACCTGTGGTTTACTGTAGTGTTTACATTAACTACCTGTGGTTGCCAGTAGTGTTTACAGTAACTACCTGTGGTTTACTGTAGTGTTTACAGTAACTACCTGTGGTTTACTGTAGTGTTTACAGTAACTACCTGTGGTTTACTGTAGTGTTTACAGTAACTACATGCGGTTTACTGTAGTGTTTACAGTAACTACCTGTGGTTTACTGTAGTGTTTACAGTAACTACCTGTGGTTTACAGTAACTACCTGTGGTTTACTGTAGTGTTTACAGTAACTACCTGTGGTTTACTGTAGTGTTTACAGTAACTACCTGTGGTTTACAGTAACTACCTGTGGTTTACTGTAGTGTTAACAGTAACTACCTGTACTTTACTGTAGTGTTAACAGTAACTACCTGTACTTTACTGTAGTATTGACAGTAACTACCTGTGGTTTACTGTAGTGTTGACAGTAATTAACTGTGGTTTACAGTAACTTCCTGTGGTTTCCTGTAGTGTTTACAGTAACTACCTGTGGTTTACTGTAGTGTTTACAGTAACTACCTGTGGTTTACTGTAGTGTTGACAGTAACTACCTGTGGTTTACTGTAGTGTTAACAGTAACTACCTGTGGTTTACTGTAGTGTTTACAGTAACTACCTGTGGTTTACTGTAGTGTTTACAGTAACTACAAGCGGTTTACTATAGTGTTTACAGTAAAAACGTGTGGTTTACTGTAGTCTTTACAGTAACTACCTGTGGTT